TTAACCTGAGCCTTTCATATTTCAGTCAACAGCACTTCTGTTTACCTTTTTATTACCTAGTTTGTGAGTTAAGGCCCAAATCCTGCAAGCGTTTGTAGACAGCTTAACTCTTTGTATTTAAGTAGGCTAGGCGAAGCGGGAATTACAGAATATCATGTCTCCTTCTGAGTCACGTTAATTGGATGACATGGCAATAGTGCATGCCACATCTTAGAAGAACAGGATCCAGATAAGCGTTAATCCCTTGGAAATTAACGTAATGCACTTTTAAGCAATCTCTGCTAAATCTCCCGTTTCAGCCTGAAAGTCACAAATGCCCAGGATCCAAAGCGCTGTCAGCGTTAGCAAGTCGTTAAGATCCATTTTTTGCTACTAAACGTCTTACAGTCTAGAGATAAGGTGAGAAAGAATGTAAATTAATTAACGTGGGTAGGAAATAAAAAGATGATGAAAATTACTGTTCTCATCATTAGTTACCTGATTTTGCTCTACTAATGATATCTTAGGAATTTATGTCTACTTGTCTTATTTTCGCTTTGCGTTGCCATATTTATTAATTTTAACAATTATCACTAGGGCTGACCTTTACAAGGGAAGTATTTCCACGTGGGCTCCCTGCTACCTAGTTAACTTGCATCTTTAACCTGTTTTATTTGCCGCTCTTGTATTAAGAGTTACATTTCATAGATTGTAGTAATATATTTTCTGCTGAATAGTTGGAGTGCACCTTAGAAGAACTGCAGTATCAAAGACAAATACTGCAAACCAGGATATATTAATTAAAAACTTAAAAAGGAGCCAAATTAATAGTCAGCACAGCTTTGGGTAATTTTTCCCTCCAGCAACTGCAATAGAGTAGTATTGCTTTACTTTTTGTTTGTTCCCCCTGTGCAGTAATGGGCTAGTGAGTTGATCTCCTGAAAAGCTTACTTCCAGAAGCTAAAGGAGCCTTGCAAAAGCTGTTGAGTACTTCTGACCTGTGTGACTAAAGGAAAGTCTAGCATGAGTTCTTCAAGGTGCTTATTTATGGAAATAATTCATGATAAAGGCCTTAGAATAACGCACAAAATATTAAACGTAAGACTCATTTTCTCATCTAGATTTCTCTTCTAGGATTAAAATTCACATGGGGTGGTCATTTAAACAGGAGCGGAAAGGGCAGTTTCACTAAAAGATAATTCCAGAGTAAACCAGGTTGATCGGATTTAGTCCATGTGGGGTTTGGGTGTTACAGAATCGGTACAGTTTCCGCATATCAATGCAATTTCTTCTTAATAGCAAGATTTTTCTAGACTTCAGTATTTAAGTTGACTTTCTCCAGACCCTGCACCCTAATAAAACTTACTTGCTGTCCATAAAATTTTCAGTGATGAATCTCCATTAGTTTGTAAAAGGCAGATGGAAAAGTTAGTTTGTCTTCTGTTGGTAGATTTGTGTCTTAGTTGGTAGAAGATGCTTTTGAAACTGTGTTGTGACCTTGGTTGATGAGATGTTGATGCTACTGGAATAGATTAACCTTTGAGATAGATGAGCGTTTTCTAAAATCCTTGTTTATTTTTACACCTTAATCACATCTTTTTGACTACTGTTCTAAACACTGTCTGGGAATTACCATGAAGACAGGATGTTGAACGCTGTTTATTGGCTGGTTTTGACTACTGCTATTTAGTTGGGGCTCTTCTGCTCGGGCTTTAAATCCTACAGAAGTGGTGTTGCCCCAGGAAAGCTTTTTTTTTCTGCTGCATTTGAGCCTAGAGCTCTGTGAGAAGCAGCAGCTGATCCTGTCCTCACCTGAATCCTCGTGACCGTGGGCTGGTGAAACCCTCAGGGCGCTGACTCGAGCCTTTGCCCCTCTGAAGCTGGGTCTGGAGCTCCTGACAAGTTCTTGAACGTATTTCTCCTCACGTAGAGTTTTGAGAGAAAGGGGAAATCAAATCTAGATGTGTTTCTTTTCCTATTGATTTCTAAAGGAGTTTAAGTTTTTGGTACCTTTTCTTTTTAATAGCGTTTAGTATTTGATTGGTTTCCTAGCTATTAAAAAGAGAAAGCAACCTGGTTTTCCTTTTTTTTCTTTAATACCAAGAAGTATGTATTCTTTTTAATATAAGGACAACATAATATAAAAATCGATTTGGAGTCTTAGCAAAAAAAATGTAAATTTCATATGCAAAACAACTGTATTCTTGAAAACTTATTCTTAGAATGTTTATTAACAGTATCAGCATTTTTGATACTAAAAAGCAGCTAAAACCCCCCTTAGAGTACAGCAGTGGGTTTTTGTGACCTTCTGCAGTGTCTCCAGCTTTTGTTCTACATTGTATTAATACTCTAAAAAGTCATCTGGAGGGGGAAGAATTTAATTGCACTGATTTTTTCTGCATTCTAGCTTCTCATCTGTGCTATAGTTGACGTTAGAGGATGTAGCTGGGTAGTCAGCAGGGCAACTTAATCGTTCCTCTAAGATGCTGTTTCACTGCAGTTTAAAAATAAAGGTTTGAAAGAGCTCTGAATATTTTTAATGTCACTGTGTTCAAAATTGAATCCTATTTAAAAAAAAAAAAAAAAAAAAAAGTCGGTTATGGAAGAGTTTAAGGTTTTCTCTTGAAATTATTGATTTGTTCCATAAAGGACATTGGTTTTATTTGCCTGAAGTCGCCCCTTTTTACTACGTGGGTGAAAGAGCTCCAGGCTGAGGAGGGTCCAGAACAAGAGCCTGTTGTAAAAGCCGTCAGCGGACCGTGCAGCAGGACAGACAGGGTGATCTTCCTGGTCTGACACTTTTACCGACGGCTCGCAGGGTGCGGTGCCCTCCCACACCCAGGGGTTCTCAGTGTCCCTTGAGCAGTTTCATCCAAGATTTCATTTCTGTTCCTAAAAGATGCTTTTGCTTCAAGAGGAATCGCGTAGCTGTGCAGCACCCGCCATGCAAACCCTTTGCAAAGGTGCGGCGTCTGTCACGGCCTCTGGATTCAAGAGTAGCTTTCGCATCCTTACTAACGAAATCCTGTGCTCCTTTCAGAGGTTTCCGTGCCCTGGTGTTTGACTCATGGGGCAGCAGGAGCTCCTACAAGGCAGCCTGTCTCAGTGGTAGTTTTATCAGTGAATTTCTCTTTTATCCCTTCTGGCTACTTATCTTGTCGTAGTGATTCGGTCTTCTCATAGTTCCCCTGTTCTGCACTGTCTTCTGGTTTTAGAGTTCCTGCCTGCAGCATCTATTCTCCTAATCGGTCAGAAAGCTGAGCTGATTTTTGCTAAAACTTCCCCTGGAAACATGGCTTTAGGCGAGTGCCCAGCTTCAGGCCGAGCGGCTGTTCTGGTGGGAAATATCGGAGAGACCTACCTGCTGTTTCCCTATCAGTAGGGAAACATGAAATCTGTGTTCCTGGAGTCATCTAATTTGCAGCGAGTGTAAGAGGTAGAAACTGGGAAGTTCCTTAACTTTAAATCTGCTGACTAGAAATCAAGATTTTAAAAAAATTTCCAGTTTGAATCGTTTTAGCTAACGAAACAAAAATAGTTTCCCTGATAGAAGTGTGCTGTGTTGTACCTTCCCGGGCTGCCCTGGGCAAGGGATTGCACGGGGGTGAGCTTGGGAAAAGGGAGGCACAGTAGGCTTTGGTTGTTTGTATGCTACTGAACATTGCTCAAAAGGATGAATAAATAACTTCATTGGTTCCTTCCCTTGCACAGAACAGCATTCTTCCCTTTTCTAGTTAGCTGGTAGGTAGAAAAGATGGAGTTGAAGTTTTCCATTGTTTTTTCCTTCACTTCTGGGCAGGTAGGTGATAACGTATAAATACCTCCAGGTCTTCTGCCTAAATCAGAGACTGAGTAGAGAAGAGAAGGGTGTAGGGGGAAGTCCTGTGCTTTTTAGGCCTAGCCACCGTTTATACCTTCATTTTAGTTTGTATCTCCACTGTAATTACCGGTCATCTTTCTACACCTGATTTTCTGAAATCCTCTGAGATGCATGTGTTTTCATCTTACCTGCAACGCATGAAAACATTCAGTTGTTTTTTTCAGGCGCTAATGGAGGAGGACAATTAAGTTGTCAGTATGAAACACATCATCAGGCTCATGATGGCTTCGCGCCATCATGAGACTGTGACTCCTTCACTACAATACAGTACGTGCCAAAAAGGGTCTCTTGGCTGCTAAATTTTAGGAGGGGCACCTCTGCTTTGGAGAAATAAGAAGCGTTATCCTTTTACCTTTTGCACCTGATCTGTTTCTAGGGAGCAAACCCCAGGTGTTTCCTTATGGAGGAGAGATCGTAGCAGGTACGAGCAATCTTTAACAAAACCTTTAAGCAGTTAAGTTTTTTTTTTATCTGTTCAACAGTAATGAGCAAACCTGTATTCCCCCTACAGAACTGTCCAGCACAGCAGCTCTGCTAAAGGAGCAGTTTGTGCCCAGCAAAGTCTTCCCTTGTGTGTTGCATGAAGACCGTAAATGTCCAGTTTAAAGAAGGTGTTTGTGTTGGGCAGGACGTCTTTCCCATGCATGTTTCAAAACTTCTTCATTAATGTAAAAGTACATAAAAACCTGGGTAGTGATGTCATTTTACTGATAAAACTGTCTAGATATAATCTGCATCTGGTTCTCTTCGCTATACGGTCTTGCCCTCAAAATAACTTCCCAAGTCCAGTTGTTACTTCAAATTTATTTTTATAGCACTGTGTTGACTTGTTGGACAGAAAATAGTCAGTGTCTCTAGCAATGTGCAAATGAAGCTCACGCCTTGTACCACTTCACATCCAAGAGCTACAGCAGGAGTAGTAGTGACCAGAATCGTCTATTCCTGATCTGGAAATTTTAGACTCATGTCACAACAGGCGTCTGTTGAATTTTATCAGTTTAGTGAAGTTAAGCTTATTTTCTGCTTTTAAACTGGTTTTGAGTTATTGAAGAATCAAGGCCAACAATTGACATTGCATTAGTGAATAAATCATTACTTTCACTCAGGGAAAAAGTGGGAACATTAGTATTTTTTAACCTACCTATAGATAATACATGCACTGTTCCTGCATGTGTCGCAATTAGCCGTGTCTTGACCAGTCCGATATGAAAGCCTACAAAGACAAGAACACGAGGTCATTAAAAAGTAATTTGTTTTAACATGTTTTTGCCTTCTGTGATTTTTTTCAAAGAACTCAGAAATTCAGGATTTTTTTTTTTTTTTAAACTTTGGTATTGAATACAAAAATGTAGCCATTGGGAAAACAGGATCAAACCCAGCATATTCAGCTTCACTGAATGATGGGAAGATGAAGTTATTTTGGAAAATGAGTCTTTAATGACTGCAAGGAGAAAATAAAATATTTATTACCGTTATATGTTTGTAAATTAAAAGGGAGAACAACAAGGAAACCAAGTGACCTGCACCTCTTTTTACATAAAGCTGCTGTGTACCAAAGTGATGAACCATCACTGTAAATGGAGAGGCTTACAGTTCCCACAGACGTGACAGTGCTGGTTTGATGGTTTTTCTTCTGCTTTCTCAAATACATGAGGCTTTTCCTAGTTATTGCTGGATGTATAGAACATAATACCTGAAAATGGCATCTATTTAGAAATTTTGTCCCTCAGCAGTGAGGTCTGAAGATCTGTTGTAGTCATGTTCAAGTCTTAAAAGGAAAAAAAAAAAATGTAATTTAAATAACACCTCCTGTACTCACCTAGCCTACAGCTATCCTTTGTCACACTTTGGTTTGAAGTCTGCTACAGCAGTGTCTCTTAATTTACCTATATATTGTTGCTGAGGGTCAATTTGAATTAAAAAGGTTTTTTTAAGGTATGCAAGTACTTTTTTTTGTAAAGTAAATATATTAAACTAACACCACAATTGTCTACCTATCAACATGAATCTAAGTTTAAAATTAAAATTCCTAAGTAATATTTATATAGTTATACTTCCTCTTTTTGTAAAATCAAAAACTTAAAAGCTTGTAAAGTTATTTTCAGTTTGTGGAGAATACGTAGTATCTGCAAGTTTTTTTGCAGTTGTCTTTAGAAGAAATGGGGAAATATCTCATCTGTGGAATTTTGAAGTTGTGAAAAATAGATCCAGTCAGGATTACTTCAGGGAATGCATCTGAAGTCAGGGGCTCCCCTGAAGCCTGGGACCTTGCTTTCCTAAACAGTTCAACTAATTGACCTCAAATAATTCAGTGTTAATTAAGCTTTGCTTAACAGGGGCATCTCTGCGCCTTCGCTGCCCTTGCTGTGGCGACAGAGCTCCTTTTTCTCTGCTTCCCTGAGAAAGTAACAATAACGAAAAATCCAAATTTGCAGAAAAGCTGACCTAATTTTTATGTGACAGAAGAGCAAACCTATATAAACCGAAACCTAATATAAAGTATTAGTGGGAAATGATACACAAAGCGTTCGATGTGCCCGTCGGTAAGATGGAAAATCAGCATTTCCTAAATAGCCTGCAGCATTTATTTGTCTTGGTGCACATACAGTTTTCTTTGAAAATGACCATCTTGTTCTGTGTCTCTTTACTGTTGTAAAGGATTGAATATTGGTTTAAAAGCTTATCGCATTGCTTATAAATATATATTTTAGGTAAACTTTTAGAAGAGAAGAAATTTCTCAGTCTGACCTTGAAGGCAGAGGGGTGAGCCTGAGGTTTGTTAGACCAACCTTGTGTTCAGAGGGGAGATTTCTCCTTCTACCCTGATCACTCGGGGTTGCAGTCGTTGGGGTGGTGTCAGGGTGAAGCGCTGGTGGCCCCTGAGTGCAGCTCCTTGGCCCAGCGGCAGCACGGGGGGCAGGTCAGAATAGGGTCAATCTGCTTTTGTAAGAAAGACTATTTTTCCCTCCTGAAGCAAAATGCAAGGTAGAGTTCTTGCTGGTCTAGTTGGTTATCGTTATTTGAAGAGGGTTGGAACACTCTGGGTTTAAAATTTGATAGCAAGTAATAATTCATTGGCCTCAAAAATACTTTTTATTCAGAGGAACATACTCAAATTAACTAGACTGTTGTTTTGTTAAAATTTAGCAAAGTCAGATGTGCAAAAGAACTTCTCCAAAGCAGAATTTCTATATTGTGTACTATTCCTTATGGAAAAAAAAACCCCAACAAAACAAAACCAAACAACAAACAAACAAAAATCCCCCCAAAACAACAACAAAACCAAACAGTATTGGTTTATATTTAATTACATTTAGTTTTTATGTTCTTTAAGAGGGGTGAAGCAGTATCTGTTTTTCAATTCCCCCTTTAAAATCTTTTGGAAGTTGACATTCAAATTGCCACCACACTATTAAGCTTGCACTTGTAAAATGTTTTTTCCAGGCTATTGATCCAAATACTAAAAACTCTTACTAAGAATACAGCATTTAAAGTTTACAGATCAGTTGATGAAAGCCCTTATTTACTGAGGACATAAAGGGTGCTTAATAATCGCCTACGGAGGAATAGAGCACCGTTTTCCGAGTGCCTCTTTATAGGTAAAGGCATAAACACAGGGCGTTGGGTGTGTTGTTGTTTTTTTTTTTCTGTTGTTTTATTTTTTCATTAGTTCCCAGCTGGGACATTTTCATTTATCTTTGCACGCCTGCGAACTACCATTCAAATACACAGTTAATTATCTGCCTCGTAGAATAACGACCTTCTCTCTGCCCGCCTCTCCTGTTTCTGCACAGGGCTGCAGGGTTTGTGCTGTTTGGTTGGCCTGCCTCTCTGCTTCGCTGATTAAGAAATAATTTAATAGCAAGGGGGTTTAATAAGTTTTTCAAAGTCCTGTGTTTATGAAAGCAAACTACTATCCGAGTTATTTATCCTGCTAATACCTGTCCCTGTTACCCCGAATTGCTGCGAGCTGAGCCTTGTGACGAAGAGTGACAGTGACATCTTCTTTGTAGAGTTCCTTAGGAAAACGGTTGGTTGTATTTTAGGGACACGGCTGGTGCTTTGAGGGATGTTTTCTAAAAGAGTGAGGTTTCTGGTGGCGGTTGTAAAAGCAAGGCGGCCAGGTCATCTGTTCACAGTGAATCTTGACAAGTCTTTATTTTTACTTTTCCCCCTCACTGGGGTGTTTGAAAGCCATGGCTTTCGCTGTGGGACTGGGAAAAGGTGAGAATTTTTTGTTTGAAAGAGAAGGGAGGATGAGGAGTATTCCTGTGTGTGCTGAAAACCATGAATGGAGAAGGGGGGGAGGGCTAAATCAGAGCCCTCAGGACAAATCTGCAGTGGTGGCGTTTCCCAGTGATAGCCTGCTCAGCCTGGCACGGAACTTAGAAACACTTGAGCAAGAATTCATATGGGATTAACCACCCAAATAAACACATTGCAGTATTAAAAAATCATACAGAGATGTCTCTGCATCCTTACCTTCCCTGTATGCTTACACCTGTAAAACAGAAGTAGGTGTATGGTCACTAGCTCAGTTATGAAGTCACTGTGGTTTGCCAGCAGTTTCCCCCAGCGCCGTGCCCATCTTGTCGAAACAGTAAGTAATATTTTAGTTGTGATAAACTCACTGAATGCCGGTAGGCTGGTTACTTATTTATCAAAAGCCAAACTGTATTTGGTCTTAATGGGGATGCGCCAGTCCAGTCACGAGCTATAATCCTGCTTCCATAACTGGCAGGCTTTGGTATCTTGTGAAAAATAAGGTATCATATACACTTCAGGTTAATAAACTGTCTTTCTCAAAATTGAGCTTTCAGTATCTTATTTAAATTAATTTCTAAAGTGTACAATGATCTTTAAATGCCCAATAATTCCAGACTTTCAAATACTTTAAAAACATATTTCCTAGTTGAAGGCAGAAGGCTGACTCATTAAGGTGTTGAAAATGGTCCTTTGATGTAACTATTTAAAAATTGTATGATGTTTGGATGATCAGTTTGAAATACTGATTCCTCAGCTTACAAGTTCAGCACTGCTTGGTTTTAGCATCACTGTCATTCACAAACTGTACCGCTTACAGGGATACATTTTTTTTTTTTTTTTTCCTAGGCGGATGTAATTTATGATGAACTCTTCTTAAAGCACCTTTTTCCATATTGAATATGTTCAGCTTCTCAGAGATGATTTTCCTTTCAAACTATGGGTTCAGTAATGTTGCCTTCTCTGAACCATCCTACCAGACTTCTTCGTAAGCCCCGAGAACACTACACAGTGTTGCAGTATTTGGTTTCCATAAGGCAGTTTGATAGCTCTTTAGCCAGGACTGTGTGAGTGCTAGTACAGTGTAAATTCAATTATTTCTATATAAATTAAACTCTTCATGGAATAATTCTGTTGTTGATACCTCAGGGCTTTGGACTTTTACCTTCTTGTTTTCACATAATTATCTACATAAACACTTGCATGGAATTCATCTGCTTCGTGCCAGCAAAGATTCTACTATTGGCACAGTGTTTCCATCTACCTCTTAAACACTGAGGTTGGTTTTCAGGGCGGACTTACTGGAAAATTGAGCTTCCTATCCCTGTGAGCTGCCAGAAACAGTTTGCGAGCAGAGCCTGGATACTGAGTTCAGGAGAGCAGAGTTCTGGGTGACTGTGCTTTCCTTGCGAGATGGAATATTTTGGATAAGCTATTTTTTTTCCCCTCCTCTTAAAAATATTTTTAAGTCTATTCTAGTGTAGAAGAGCTCAGTCAGTGTTTTTCTGCAAGAGTAAATCCTGTAAAATATGAGCTTTTTCGCTAAAGGAAGACTCCTACAGAAAATTTGTTTTCTTTTTAGAGAAAAGAAAGTTGGGTTTGGTCTGGTTTAGATACAAAGTGGAGTATTTCACTTTGTATTGAGTGAGATGCCTGGGAGCCAGGAGTTCCCCCCAAGCTACGACTCCCGTGGGCAATGTACTTCATGTAAAAATAATCTCAGCATTAAGCCTTGCAGCTCATTTTACCGATCTTAACATCTTGATTTTTGGGAATGCCTCATTGGTTTAAGAAGCGCTACGTTTTATAACTTGCTTCAGTCTCTCCCTTTTATCATCCATTCTTCAAGAAGATTAAACCCGACCGCCGTGAGGCTGTGCTGGCCCGCCTGGTGTGTAAGCTGGGGCTCCTCTGCTCCGCTTCGGTGCGCGGATGTGCCCGTCATGCCTA